GTTTTCAGAGTTCGGTTCGCCAAGTGTTTGTAATAAAGCTCAATCTAATCTTGCTGATGATCATAGTTCTAGTATATATGATGTCTGGCATAGAAGGTTAGGTCATGCCAGCTATAATACTGTAGTAAGAGCCTGTAAGGTCATTGATGTATCGATTCCTTCGAATGTTAATGAAAAATGTGATACTTGTTGTATTGGCAAAAGTCATAAGTTACCATTTTCCTATTCCACTTCTATTTATCATGCTCCCTTTGAGGTAGTATTCACTGATCTTTGGAGTCCTGCTCATGTTGCTTCTAAAGGGTTTAAATATTACTTGATATTTGTTGATGTGTATTCTAGACATACATAGATTTATTTTCTACAAAACAAATCTCAAGTTGTATTGGTGTTTCGGTTATTTCAAAAATTGGTGTTGACTAAGTTTGGTGTTCCCATTAAATCGATTCAAAGTGATTGGGGTGAAGAATACAAGAGTTTGTCTCAGGTTCTGCTACAGGATGGGATTAATCATAGACTTACATGTCCTCACACCTTTGAGTAAAATGGAGTTGTGGAGAGAAAGCACATACATGTCATTGAACTTGCTTTAGTCTTGTTAGCTCAAGCCTCTATGCCCATGCAATATTGGTTATATGTTGCCATGACTATTGTTTATACTATTAATAGGCTACCAACAAAAGTGTTGGATGGTGTGTCGCCGTGTGATAAGCTGTTTGGGAAGAAACCATATTATGCTTCGATGAAAGTGTTCGGGTGCAAGTATTTTCCTCACTTAAGATTGTTTCAAACTCATAAGTTTGAGTTTTGATCTCAAGTCTGCACGTTTTTGGGTTATAGCTCTCAACACAAAGGGTATCTTTGTCTTTTTTCGAGTAGGAGGATTTATGTGTCTCTCGTCATGTGGTTTTTGATGAGTCTATTTTTTCTGTTTGCATGTTTAGCTAATAAACCTCATACAATAGGTGTAATTGGTACTTCTATAGTAGAGCCAGTTGATCTAGAGATTGTGAGAGATATTCAGCAGTGACAGACACTCTGGATGCTGATGGTGAACTGCATGGTTCTGTACAGGATACTTCAGGGAGTGAATCACTGGAAATAGTTGATGATTCTATTCTTGTAGTGAGTTCTGATGAGGTGATGGTTCTTGATAACTAGACTGATGTGCACGGTGGTGGTACTACTGTGCAAGAGCCTTTTGTGTCTACTGCACCTGCTGTGAATACTCATCCTAAGCTCACAAGGAGCAAGTGTGGCGTTTTCAGGCCTAAAGTATATGTAATGACTTCTGATGTGGAGGAACCGACCAATATGTATGATGCAATGAAGTTTCCCAACTAGAAAGCAACAGTTTATGCTGAGTTTGATGCTTTTCAGCGTAATGGTACATGGAGTGTGATGAAGTTACCTCATGGGCGGTCAGTTGTAGGATGTAAGTGGTTGTTCAGATTGAAGACTAATCCATATGGTTCAATTCATCGATACAAGGCTCGCTTGGTTGCTAAAGGTCACTCTCAAGTACTAAGGCAAGATTTCACTGAAACTTTCAATTCATTGATTAAGTTTGCTACACTTCATGATGTCATGTCTCTGGTTGTGGCAAGACAGTGGCAGCTACGTCAGGTTGATATAAACAATGCATTTTTAAATGGAGAGTTGCATGAGGATGTCTACATGCAGCAGCCACCAGGGTTCGAGCAATATGTTGAAGATGACAATTAACTTGTATGTAAATTGAACAAGGCGTTGTATGGTCTTCGTCAAGCACCTAGAAATTGGCAAGCTAGATTGAAACAATGTTTGCTTCAACTAGGGTTTACATAATCAAGGGTTGATACGTCACTTTTTATTCGCAATAACGATGGTGTTTATACATATATATTAGTATATGTTGATGATATTGTTGTTACTGATAGTTCAAGTACTAAAGTTGATGATATGGTTCGCCAGTTGAGTATTGCATTCTCATTAAAAGATTTTAGAGAGCTGGACTATTTCCTCAGTATTGAGGTAAAAAGGTGTGGTGGATCTCTAGTGCTGAGTCAACGTAAGTTTATTCTTGAACTTTTGATGAAAGCTAATATGGATAAAGCCAGTCCTATGATAATACCTATGATTCTAAGCAAGTTTCAATATGATGTTGGTGAACTTCTATGTGATGCTAAGAAGTATCTTAGCATTGTTGGAGCATTGTTGTAAGCGTGTCATACTTGACCTGATATCACCTTTAGTGTGAATTAAGTATCCCAGTACATGCATGCACCACGTCAAGGTCATCTTGTTGTTGTTAAACACATACTCTGTTATCTTGTAGGCACACTCGATTATGGCTTGGTGATATCTCCCTATGACGTGAATGTGAAGGTAGTGTCGTTTGCTGATACAGATTGGGGTGGTAACCTTGATGATAGAAAGTCGATTCTGGACATTGTGTATTTGTGGGAGATAATGTTGTGCCTGAGCTTCTAAGAAATAGAAGATGATTTCAAGGTCCGCCATGGAGACTGAATATCGCAGTGTGGTTGATGCAACAGCAGAGGTGACTTGGGTCGATGCACTTCTTTCGGATAAGGGGATTGTAAGACAAGGAGTATCGGTTATTTGGTGTGATAACAGTGGTGTTGTGGCCATAAGTAGCAATCCAATATATCATGCGAAGGCTAAGCATATAGAACTTGACATGCATTTTGTGCGAGAGAATGTTGCTACTAAGCATATGATCGTTAACTATATCTCAGCTAGTAACCAAGTTGCAGATGGGTTTACTAAAACGTTGTCCAGACCGTCATTTGAGCAATTTCGATCTAAAGTCCAAGTGTTTTCGTTTGACCATAAAGAACGAAAAGAAAGTAGGGAGAATATTAGAGATATAGGTGGTTGAAGCAATACTGTTGTGCCACAGTTGTAGAGTTGTTGTGTAGTTAGGAAGCAGTTGAGAGTTTGTTGAAGTTGTTGTTATCCGTTAGACTTGTCAGCTAGGATTATAGATAGTTACAGTGTACCTATATAAACATGTAAGTATACTGCTGTAAAAAGAGAGAATAAAAGATATCTTTTACTTTGTTTTCATGGTTCTTTACACGGCGGTATCTTCTTGTACCCTGCAGATAAGAAGAGCCCCAACGGGAAGCTACGATGCGTAATGCAGAGCTTGTTAAATATGTTGGATCCAAGACAACTTTCACTTACAAATGAGGCTTACTTTCTTATTGATTTTGAGCAATCTATGTAAAATAATGTTCTCTACGAGGTCTTTCTGATGTCGTTCTTGATGGAACAAGCAGGAGGTCAGGCATTCACCGACAAGCAAAGGGTATTTACATCAAACCATTTTATTATCAAGCTGATCTAATGACACTGATAAAACAATCATATTAGCCATGGTAAAGAAATGCTTATGGTTTTGTTGTAGCCTGCAAACTAATGTCTTACAAATGTTAATCAGATCTATTTTTGCAGGCACTTGACTTGATCCCCACAAAGATACACGAGCAGTCTCCCATATTTCTTGGCAGCTATGACGATGTTGAAGAAATTAAAGCACTATATGGTGCTGAAGTGAAGGGGGAATAAATCTACAATTCCCATTTTGCCTCTACTTACGCTGTCTTGCTGGATTTAGCTTTTAATCTTCTCATAAGACATAATCAATATGTAATGGGATACCACTACTTATCCATGGATATATGTATGTGTATATATAATAAATATCGAATGATGGTTGAGTGGAATGATATTCTTTAGGGTAGAGTATACAAATGATTCCCGACTATAACATATTGTTTTATTATGTCTTTCGATTATTAAAAGTTATAAAATGATTACTCAGTTATTTATTATGTTCTAAACTCATCATTTTCTGGTAAATGTTTTACTGCATTTTGAGTTGAACGTTAACTTGTTGATTGTGATATGATAAAATATGATACTAAAATCTCAAACAGCTACTATATTTTAGTCATCATGTTAACGGTCAACTTAGACGATTGTCCATTTTTTAACAAAAAAAGATAAGTTTAAAATATAATGAATAGTCGATATACTAAATAAAACAACACTCTATAATCGGATGACCATTTTATAACTCTTAATAATCGAGAGACTTAATAAAGCAATATCCTATCACCATTTTCATATTTTACCCTATTCTTTATTAATACATGTATCCAAACTAACTTCTGTCGATATAACATAAACAATAGAGGTTAAAAATTAAATTTAAGTTCGGTCGTAACATATCACATATTTTTTATGTTACAACAAATAATATTTATTTTGATTGAATTCAGTCATTTTTATAGAATAATCATTTATGAATTTAATTTTTATACTTTAATTTAATTAATGTTAATTTATATATATATATATATATATATATATATATTTGAATTTTAAAATTTCACTATTGACTCGAACAATACAATAAAAATATAATTAAACTACGAGGACTTGAAATATTCAAATTAAAGAACATAAATTGAAGCCTATACATGGTACAAAGATTAATAGTAATTGAACTACTATTATTTGTATAGGACCACAATTTTGGAGGGTAAAATTAAAAAATAGTCATTATATTATTTTAAAACATTTTTATACTAAATATTCAAAAATTATAAAATAAATATTAAATTTCAGATTTTAAAATAGATATTTCGCCATTAGTTATTTTAGTCATTATTAAGAAGATAATATAATACATTAAAATTAATAGATAATATCTCATTTATTCTATCAATTGTAATTAAAATTTTTATTTTAATATCTTTAAATAATAATTATAAAAAGTATATACATAAAAATATTAGAAAAATTTAAAAATATATAAGATTCAAAATTTATTTAAAATTTATTTACTAAATAAGAATGAAACAAGTATTATTTCCGTTTGGGCTCACCTACAGTTATGTTTGGCTTCGGGCTGAAGTATCATTGATCCGAAGTTTATTATTTTTCAATGAATTATTAATTTTGAACTACTTATGTTTAGGCAAGCTAGGGTTTCGCCAATCTCAGGCTAAAGGTCTTCGTTGTCTTCCAATTGAAGTCCTTTTATTTTTCTTTTTTCTACTAGGAAATAAAAAAAATCGAATTACCTTTTCCTTGCATAGGAAAATCAAGAAACCAGGGATGGCAGACGGTTACTGGAATCGGCGTCAGCCAACCTCTTCGATGATGTCTTCCAGTGGGACGCTTAAACGACCTCGTAATGAATATGGTAATCCCTTTGTTTTTCCTTCAATTTTTGTTTTAGCTTAGATGCTTGGCAGATTATTTCGATTAGATTTGTAGAATTTTCTTCAAACTTTGTTTGGAAATTATGTATTGGTCTTAATATTAGGTTTTGTTTTGCTTTAGATACCTTATTTGTTGAGCACGCCTGCTGGGTGATTTTCTTTTCTGCAATGAGAATGAATGCTAAAGAGATTTTAGATGCTTTATTTTGAAGTAGTCAGTTCAATGCTCATTGCAGAACCTTAGTTTTAAGGTAGCAATTGGTTGTCAGATAAGGAATGGGTTATTGTTGAAACTTGAAAACCTAAGTTATAGTGTTTTTTAACATTTCTTTTGGCCTTTGCAAACTTGATAACTCTTGCTGTTTCAATACAGGTTTCTTTTTGTTTATTTATATTAAAAGAAAGTTCCAAATTGACCTTTGTTTGACTAATTTCTTTGAGCTTATTTATTTTTCCACTGTAAGTAGCTGCCAGTTTTATTCAGATTTGCATTTGGCCATTCACTGTGTGGAATGTTTATCTTTGTCTTTTGGTTTCTTCATGAAGAATTTAGAAATATGCTTGTCTCACTTCTGCGTCTCTTTGAAAACTATTATCTGCTTTAAGAAAAAAGAGTTTCACCTATATTTTATATTTTCAACTACACAGATGATCCACCTTCTGGGCTACATCCAGCTCATGGGATGCATAATTATTTGGCTAGAGATGGTGATCAGGGTGGACATCTCTCTGTGAAGGATACAAAAACAATTGGTTCAGCATATGATCGCTATCTGCAGAGTGCGGTACCATCTTGAACCTTTACTTGTGCTTATTTATTCCTCACCATGTATCTCTATTTTTGTTTTCTGAAGCATTTATTAAATTGCTTTTTAGCAACTTTCTTCTTTTCCTTCTGGAAAACCAAGTACATTTGGTGGGTTGGGAAAGCCTGTTTTTGGTTCAATGCCTGCTCATCCAATAGCTGATCCTCCTGTGGCGGGTCGTTCTGGAACTGCTGCTTCAGATCTGGTGCCAAATGACCGAAATGTAGGTTATGGTAATCATCTTCCGGTGGATGCCATGTCAAGGTTAGGTCGGGATACTATACCTCTACCTCCAGATGCTACCAATACTCTATATGTTGAGGGACTTCCTTCTGACAGCACAAGGAGGGAAGTAGCACGTATCCTATTTAATGATGTAATACTTGATAAGATTTGTTGATGCCTAACTCTTATGGTACCATATTTTAGCTCTATTACCTTGTTTCTGTCTATCAGTTCACATTCCTTGACTGTGGCTTTAGATATCTTTCGCCCTTTTGTGGGATATAAAGAAGTACGACTAGTGAGCAAAGATTTTCGACATGTGAGTGACTAGCCATTGTCTAACATTTAATTTTTCTCCTGTAGCATGACTTCCTTCGTGTTTTCTTGCATCTGAAATTCTCATGACTATTTCATTGAATGCTAAAAAATGATGCATTGGCAATGCAGCGTGGTGGAGATCCTCTTATCCTTTGTTTTGTTGATTTTTCAAGTCCTGCCTGTGCAGCAACTGCAATGAGTGCCTTGCAAGGTGATATTTTCTTCTTTTAATTTTGACATTTATAGAAGTTAGCTCGACAGTGGAAAATGAGACATGGATTGTTCTCTTAAGAACCGATAGGAAACAATAATCAACTCTTTAAATGGTATTGATGCACTGGAGCATTTGGCTCGAGCAGTAAGTGTATATATCCCCTTCTCAAAGAGTAGAGTTTGAATTTCCCATCCATCCAATTCAAAAAGAAAAAAAATGAAGAAGAAAAATGAGAAAGGTAGCTTTTTTATACTATGCTAATTTTCTTTTATGCGTTGGTTTCTAGTTTCTGTCGGGTTGTGTCTGTGTGTTTTCTTTTTTGACATGCATGAATGATTATAAAAGGATGTCAGCCTTATGCAGGCAGAAATATGCATGCTCAACCATTTTTCTCCAGAATGATTGCTACAAAGTGAACACGAAATTGAAAATAGAAGTTTGAACTTAACATTCCATTCGTTGAGTCAATCACATTGGCTGACAGGTGCATTTGTGTTAATGCTTTCTCAAGTTCTCAATTTGAGTTTATTGTTGAACTGTGCAGGTTATAAAATTGATGAACACGATCCTGATTCTAATTACTTGAGACTTCAGTTTTCCCGGAACCCAGGCCCAAGGTCAGGTCCTGGAGCTCGCGGAAGGTGAATGTCACATTCTGGAGACAACTAGGCTGTATGCAAGTCATCTTTAAGCCAATTTTCATGGATCACATCCTTTCTAATATATGGCTGGGTTATGAGGAGTGATCACATTAATTGGATAGTATATTTTGTTACTTGCAACCTAAATTGCTGAATCCAGCTAATTATTGGCACTAGAGATACGCAGAAATTTAGGAGACGGAGGATCCAGAAATTCTTGAATTGCTTGCACATTCCAGGAAGCTGTGTTGTACAATAACTAAAATGGTTTTTGTGGTATAGATCGTAGTAGCATTTTATTTTAGTGTTCAAATAGAGGAATAAATGTTTTTCGCATCTGATGCTTGGATGTTAATTTGCCTACGCCAAAAACTGCTGTGTTTTAGTAATGTAATCGTACGGTTAATGTTTAGTTTGTGAATGTTAATTGTTTTCCTTGGAGATAATTATGTCCATTGTGATATTTGTTTTAGATACTTTAGTTTGTAAGACACTCAGGTTTTAAATTCCCATACTGTGTCGTTTAAGTAACCTGATATCTTTAACCCCATTTTTACAGTTCACTTTGAAATTTATTCAGTTGGGTGATTGCAATTAGTATGAGTGGCGGGTCTGAATTCTTCTAGCTGTTCATATATATATATGCATCGTATTCATGATTTTTTTATCTTCCTCTTTTGGAGTTAATTGCACCAGTCGTCCCCCAACTATGACTTTCATTCTATATTATTCTATATTTTAAAATGTTCTAATTAGATCCTAAATTATCAGATCAGCCCGTATCAATTAGATCCTTTTGTTATTAAAACCGTTAATCTAATCGATGAATATCACATCAAGTTTGATGTGTACTCATTATAATCTAATCTAATCTGGCTGGCTTTTTGTAGCCAATGAAATTCGTACACATGAATTAAAAGAAATCCATACTTATTTTTATTATTATCCATGTAATTTTAAATTTTTTAATTGTAAAACAACTGAATCTATCAAAATTTCTCCCATACCGGTTACGTTTTCAGCCACATGGCCATTGATCATCGAAAAAACAACTTGAAACCCTTGACCCGAAGATTTTGACCAACCATTTAAGCAATTGCAAAAGATCCCAACAAATTATCTTTATCAACGTAAACCATAAACGACTCCAATCGCTCTTTGTTACATTTTAGTTGATTCAGGTTACCCTGGACAGAATTAGGGTATGACAACAGCGTCCAGGAAAAAAAGCAGAGAATACGTAATATCGGACAAAAACAACATGGTTACTGTTCCATGACTCTGGTTAGCAGAAAAGGAAGTTCAAAGACATTCAGAGCCCATTTGATATCCAATCAACTTGGTTAACCCAAAGGTTATAGTCATGGCTAGCCACCCTCCGACCAACACCCTAACCGCAGACCTCACCGCCGGTTGGTTCGAGTGTTCCATTGGTGGTGGTCTCCATGAGAAAGAAAATATATAGAAACCGAAAGAGGATTGTTAATTCGGAGAACGAATAGGAAAGTATTGAAGGAAAGATATGGCGAAGTATGGAGGGCACACGCCCCCTTACAAGGGTATTTTATTTATTGTGAGAGACTTTCATTGTGGAGGAGACAACTGCGGGGTACAACAAGCACTAATGAACACATTAAGTACACATATTTCACACACACAAAAAACAACAAAAAATTGCGTCTGTCAAAGAAGAGTATAATTGACACATATAACGTCAAAGAAACAAAGAACTCTCCAGTGACATTATATAATATTATACATATATTCTTGCAATATATCCTTTATGCTATGGATTCAGGGTTTTCTTAAAAAGGAAAATTATGAAGGATAAAAAGTGGAAAAGGAGCAGAAAACTTTATCATTTTCAGCAGATTGCATAGTATCATGATACCTAAGGCACACAAAAATGGATAGAAGGGGTTCACAATAATGATCATCCTTAAAATTTTATAAATTCATTTTTAACATAAAATTTTCTCTGTGTACCAGAAATGACCATATACCTAAGATTGTTAAATTACTGAAAAAAATATCTCTCATATGGATGTTCAAGAATACCTACCGAGTTGAATTTTCAAACAAAAAATGGAAACCTTTCTGCTCAGTGACTCGCTTCTGCAATGCTCAGACTACTCTTTGCTGCCAAGTTCTACATGCTAATATTGCTTCAGGAAAATAGAAAAGGTTATAACAATCTAAAGTAAATGATCTATCTATAAAAGAACTTAGAACTTTCAGAGTAATGCAATGATAGTTATTAGAATTTGGCTTATATCACAAATAAATACTTTAAGTATACCTTCCTTCTCATTTAAGTACCTAAAGTATTTTTTGGTCAAAATAAGTATCTCAAGTATTTTATGTCACAATAGGTACCTAAACTATTCAAACATTTTAATATAAATTATAAAAAAGTTGACATGTGACATTAATTAAAGAATACTTTAGGTACTTCGATAAAAAAATTAAAAACTTTAGGTACTTATTTTGACCAAAAAGATAACTTTAAATATTTATTTTGATAGAAAAATAATTTAGGTACATAAATGAAAAAGATGATATACTTTAAATACTTATTTGTTATATAAGTCTTAGATTTTTTTTTATATTTACAACCGTAACAAATATAAGGGTAAAGTATACAAATGATCCACCGACTATAGGATGTTACTTTGTTGAGTCTTTGACTATTAAAAGTTTCAAAATGATTCCTCAACTATAAATGTAACACCCCAACCCATATCCAACCTGGATACGAGTCCGAGATGTCACATTGACATTTCAAAACCTTTATTCTTGCAAAATAACGGAACATTTGAACTTTATTAAGAAAATCCGATCATATATTGTTGAATTGTGTTCATTATAAAATTTTGAGGCAAAAAAAGTATTTATTAACAGTACTATGCAGTATGAATAGCACCGTGAACAATACCATTAACAGTGCTACAATGCATCGATGCACCAAAATTTCGAATGCAAATTTTGCATCGATGCACTGCTACAGTGATTTTGGGAAAATACGTATAAATTCATAAAAATCTAAATTTCCATTCGTATAAAATTTACCATTTACATATACACATTAAAAACATTACAAAGCTCAATCATATGATTTTACAAAACCGATTAGAACATATCGGATTTAAACCTTTATTTACATGCCAACCACTATCCTTATTACAAAATGCATACTATACATTTATTTTCTGATATGATCTTTGGAAAGGAGAAACTGACCTGTCCTGCATAACTTTTACCAATCTTCCTCTTCTCGAAGCCTACGCGTGAAACAATCACACGCTAAGTCGTTGACTTAATGAGGCATGAAAACATATGATATTACTCTACTCATATCAATGCATAAACGATTAATATTATCATATCATATAAAAGCATATACCATTAACAGTACTTATCAGTACTCATATTACTATCACTAATTCCTTTATATCATATAAGCATATACTGAACCATTCTATACTCACCTTCGGGCATCCATGTCATTTCACAACAGAGCACACATATTATTATATCAAGTTATTTATTATCTTAAAAGCTCTTGTATTAGCCCATGTATACTTTTGAGAACTTAAGGTATGTGAGTATATTGAGGTTGTGCACCACTTTGCTGTCACCACAGCTCGTATAAATGTCCCGAATGACCTATCCAGAGGTCATAACGAACCTCGGCAATTGTCCATAGGTCCTGAAGAACCTAGGTAAACTGTTTATATGCTCCTTAGAACATAGGTATATTGTCCATATGTCTCAAAAGACATAGGTAATTCTGTCCATACGTCCCGAAAGACATAGGTAATCCCTCGACTCTTGGCATGCCAACTATACCACTAGCTCTCATATTACATATATGGGCATTATCATTTATAACAGTTCACATATTCACATTATTTCTCTTATAAACACATATCTCTTCTTTTCTATCACGTATCACATCTACGTGTAATCATTGATCTTATATTATAAGACTTTCTCGTATATTCTCATATCTCATTACCACGTATTCATTTCATTCTCTATATCCTTATCACATAGCTTATTTCACATTCATATGTCACAGAGTTCATATCACTTTGCATGTAATCACATAGATCATTTCATATGGCTTATATCATTTCTCATTTGTTCATGTACGTATGTCATTTCTTGTTCACATATGTTCATATATACATCACATAGCACGTAGAATGACATCTAAACTTATACATGTACTCATATACATACTTTCATATAGTTCATATATCATAGCAAACACATACTTCTATGAATTTATGCATTTTACTATTGGAAATAGACTTATCACAAGTCTTATTTTCCATTGAACATCATATACTAAATAATGTGCACTCACCTTAGCCTTGCTTACTTTGATTCAATCCTAGCTCTTCGATTGTTCCGTAACTCGTTTAGGCTCGACATCTTGGGCTTAGGACTTCACGTTGAAGAAGAGAAGAAGATGAAGAAGATAAGTCTGGAAACTTATCTCTTCACACATGCATCACATGGGTATTATAATACCCACTAATTATTATTTAATTATTTTTCTTGTTCAATGACCTATTTTCCCTTTGACTCTTTCAATAATTACTAACAACCCTTCAAGAAATACTTTCAAATAAATCATTGAACTTTTCAACTTTTCCACTTTAATCACCAAATTCTGAAATTTTACAATTTGGTCATTAACCCGTAGTTTTGGATGTTACAAATCTCCCCTCCTTTTAAGAAAATTCGTCCTTGAATTTTCATTGCACACATTGATAAGAACATGTCTTCGAATATTCTCATGTTATTTTCTTTATTTAATATTTCCTTCATTTTAGTTCTTCAACTAACTTTTTCCCTTATTCATTCATCTACTGTCGTTTATCATATAAACAATAACCAGTAACCTCAATTCATTTCTGTCTTTTCTCTCCTTCTATTTTGCATCTTCCTTTGACCTTTCTAAAATCCATATAATGCCACTCATCACGTAGACAGTAACATCCAACTCATCACTCCATATCATAATCTATCTATTTCTTCATTAATCTTTTGTACTTGTATTTTTCTTCCTCAAAGCTCCCTTTAAAACTTGTAAATACTCTTCTCTTTGTCTTCATCATATCTATATGATCCAAATACATAACCATATTCAAATCCATATCATACTTAATTAATTCACTTTATCTTTTCTTCCAATCTTATAACTCTATCACCTTTACTCTTACGGCTAGTCGATAATAATTGTTCAATTTAGGGAACAAGCCCTAATTAACACAATCATATACATCCGACCTTTCATCATTTCTTAATTATTGTATGTACTTTAATACACATGATCTTTTCATATTACCTTATACTTCTCAATTTAACTTCTCCACTTTAGAGGAATAAAAACCTTCTAGCATTATCTTC